TCTCACTCACTCTCTCTCACTCTCACTCTCACTCTCTCTCACTCTCACTCTCACTCTCACTCTCTCACTCTCTCACTCTCTCTCTCTGAGGGCTGCACTATAGTTTATTTATTTTTAGGAGAAAGGGCCGCAATGAAAGCCTTTGAGGGCCGCATGCGGCCCTTAGGCTGCAGGTTGCACAGGGCTAGTTTAAGTGATTTATATTTATAATGTGGGCACTTTAGACATAAGGGCATATACTGGAAATGACTCAAAAACACATTTTGGCAGATGAAAACAGACTCAGGCAGCCAAAGGGTTAATCATGTTCCCAATAAAAAAAAAATAATAAAATAAATAAATAACTAAATAATGATAATAATAATAATAATAATAATAATAATAATATATATATTTGGTGGGACATTTCTATATTTTCATTTTCTTGGATTCATTTTTAATGGTCCAAAATATAGATGTTGATTTTTGTTGAAATAAGAAAATCACCAAAAAAGAAGGAGGCCTTTGAAATAGTTGAGGTCATTAAAGTCACACTGAATTCAAATTATTCATCCAAAACTAGAGGATATGAGCAAGAGAAGTTGCTTTTGTTCCCAGCCAAAGACGACAATAATATTTAATACAGTTTATTTAATATATACAGTATAAAGTAGTTACATATTAAAGTTGCATTGTTAACATCTCCACAGAGACACATTTTATTAAGCATACTTTCAAGTATTTGGAAAACTATGATTTTAAAGTTTCAATTATTTCAAGCATAAGATAAACCTAAAAATCAATATGAAGTCTATTTTCCAAATGTCATGAAGGTTGCAATAATAAAAATTCATTAGACTAAAAAATACTCAGTTACTTCTGAATACCAAGTAGCACAAAATTGTTTTGTACTTTAAAGAGGGCCAAAACCACAAAAAAAAGTCCACATAATCCCAGAAATTTGAAATCCAATTTTAAATCCAACAGGAGTGCTGGAAGTATTTATAAATAATAAGAATGATAATAACAATAAACTGTAACAAGTATGCATTTCATGATCTAGCAAATAGTGCAAGCACCCTTTTAATGCAAGGCTTTCAATGCCCATGGCTTTTAAGTGAAATAGTCATTAAAAGTCAATGACATGAGTATAGTATATTGTAGCTTGCCTTACACTTTTTTATTATTAATTAAAGTCATGTATGCTGTAAAATGCCAACAAAAGGCAAAATGCAAATGTCATGCTTCTATAAACAATTATCTAACAAGAGGTATACTTGTGGTATGATTCCTAATTAGTTTCTCTCTCTCGTAACAAATTTGTTCTATAAAAATAGTGAAACTAATCTTGTACACTAGCTTTACAAAAGATACTAGTGCTCATAATTAAAGCTTTGACTTTAGTTTGCCCATCAACTTCTCCAGCTTCATTGCCTTCCCCATGTCACCGGACAACTTCATTTTCCCTGTCATGAAGGCAGTAGTTGGCTTCAGAGAACCCGAAAACATCTTGAAGAAATTACTGCTATTCATGGAGAACGTGGCATCAGCTGCAACGGGGGGGTCTCCGCGGCCACAGGACCCAGAGCCGTTCTTCAGGTCCAGGTACCACTTACCGGCCTCGTCTCCAGACACCTCAAATGCATACACAGCTCTTGTTTTTTCCACTAGATCTTCACTCAAAAAGGCTTCAATCTTGGCAAAAACCTGTAATATAAGGCAAAAGTATTGCATAAGCACTAATGTGAAATGGTAATGTGGATTGCAAATATGACTTGGCAATATACAAATTATGACCAGGGATTCAGCCGGGGAGGGGACCTGTTTTACATTGAAAAAACTACTGGTCTAGTCAATACTTTGACAATGGGGTTTCCCAATACCACACCAAGTCATGTGCCAGGCGTCAAAGGCCAAAGACAAAAAGATGAGAGATGCAAGAAACACAAATTTACCTTGCTCATACCTCCTTTAGCTCATTAGCAAAAATTACAGAATGATTAATCCTGCTATCTCAGTTTTTATAGTGTAATAACCTTGAATATTATATTCCTGATAAATGTGTTTTTCAGGAAAATCAGATGAGGTGTCAAAAATGAATTTGTCGAAATGCTATTTGTGTTGTTTTCAGATATTTATAGAGCAGTGAATCATCTTCTAAGAGTTAAGCATAATTGAAATCCAGGCTTTTATAAATCCACACATGCAATAATGAAGTATAAACATCCAAATGTACAGGGAATAAACAGCCTATACATAAAATCTTCAGGACCTGGAGTGAATAATCAACATATACACAATACCTGTGCTACTTGTCCTCCTTCGGCAGCTGCTTTGGGCTGTGTCAGTTTGCCCGTTGGGTCTAGCTTTATGGATTGTTTAGCAGCAAAGTCATCAAAGTCATCCAGGAAGAAATCAGGGATGAGGGGGGAACCTAGAACAAAGAAAGAGGGAAAGGGACAATTATTGTGCAACCTTATTAATCTGCAGTGTCCTTAATCTCCAAACTAGTGAATGTTCTTTCACTTCCTGCATGCTGGATTGAACACAGTGGCATTTGTGACTCCCTACTGGAATAATATTATACAAATAGTAAATCTCCAGATTTCTTAAGCAGAAATTCTTCCTGATCTTACTCTTTATACTTTTTATTCATTGTGGATAACCTTATCAGTCTTTCATTTTGTCTAAATGTTGAGCACAGGGTAAGGCGATATGCCACTCTAGGGGGGAAGGTTTGTCATAAGATTTAGCCAATTCCTTTTCTTTCTTTCTTTCTTTTATTTTTTTTATTTTTCTTTTATGATTCATTCAAAGGGTTCATTCCTATGATCTCTACCTGAAAGAAAGAAAGAAAGAAAAGAAAAGAAAAAAGAAAAAAAAAAGTTGTCTATATGTTCCTGCTCTTTCTCAAAACAATGGGATACACGCACGAAAGACCACATACCCACCCACCCACACCCACATAAACAGAAGCCAGAACCTTACTTGGGTCGATGGCATATTCGTCGAAATTGGTGACGCCTTCATTTTTGAGAACTTCATCATCAATGGCAAAGTTTCCTGTGTAAGACTTTGAATCTTTACAAAGCATCAGATACGCAGCATCAGCCATAATCTCGGGCTTCCGGCACTGTCTGTCTACTTCATCCCCCCCGAGCATCTCCATGGCTGCAGTGATGATGGCTGAAAATACATAAAAAAAAAATATATATATATATGTATAAAAGTCCATTTACAGAAAATATGGACTGCAATAAGATAATAAGTCTCCTGCTGTCTTTGCTTAGCATTCTAGTGATGATTTGCATGTGCTCCCATAAAATAGAAGAAAAAGGAAGAAAAAATAGATAAAAGCATCATTTTTTAACCCTTAATGAAAATGTCCTCCTACAACCTGAAGTAGATGTGGCACATTAGCATAATAACTTTATAGTCGGTTTAGTCTTTAGTCTGGTGTTTTTTGACACTACAGATCAAAAATCAATGCTACAAAACTTAAAAACATCACCAACACTATACCACATCTGTGGAAATGTTGCTGTCACCTCATTCTGCATTCCAAAATATAGGATGCATAAATGCCAGGTTACACAAACTTCTTTATGGGGGTCTTAACCCTTCTTTACTGAAGTCTATGTGGAAGTATGTAGGTCCTTCTGATATGCTGCGCTCAATTTTCATTTTTTTTGTGAAATGTCTCTGCACAAGTGCTTAGTCACAAAGGAGTCAATGAGTAGACTATGTGACCTTACCTAATTTCAACTTTCCTTGAGACAGGCAGTACTAGTAAAAGTGTAGCCATCTACGTGTAAAAACAATTAATCAAGTAAACTCACAATGGGCATGGCTTGTATGTAGATGCCATGTCTGTCAGCATTGGGTTCAAGTCAATGGCATATCAAGAGATCTGTGGAAGCATACTTCCAATTTTTTTTTTTTACTTGCTTTATGGGCCTGATACAGGTCAATTATTGAAGCCACTTGGTCTATGAGAATAAGTAGAAGCAAGGACAAAATCTGTGACTCCACTATATATACTAAATGATGATAACATGAAAAAAAGTTTATTTAAGGTGGTCACTGGCTAACTCTAGCTCGTGTTCTCAGTTAGGTTAGTGCAATGAGGCACAGGAAGGACTTTACAGTAAAGGAGTTAATAGTTTGGAATTTTTAGTAACCTTTACAAAGTACCAATATGGGACAAAATGGCAAGTGAAACTACCCCTTTGGAAATAACTGAATCATGTCATGGCACATTTACAGAAACTCTTACATATTTCACTGATGAAAAACATGCTATTTATGTATATCCTTAAAAGAAAAAAAAAGAAAAAGATAAATATACATGTTTTAATTCCTATTGAATAATAAATGGTCACCTAACTGTGGCAGATGCAACCTTCAATCTTAGATTCCTGATGATACACTGAAACATGGACCATGATCCCTGAACAAACACAAATATGAACACACATGAATACAAAATCTAAGTTATTTCTTTATCAGTTTTGCCATTTATTTACACTACTGTCCACATTCTTTTCTGTTGGCACAAAAAGAGGTTGCAGTCACAGGATAAAGTCATGTTCAATTAATAATACTGAGATACTTTGAAATATCCTTGATGGCACAATTTCCGCTAAATAATGCCACTGTGCATTACCAGCAGAGGCTTCGTCTGAGAAATTTTGGTGACAGATCCATCACATCACTGGGGGCCTACCAGGGTTGGCCACAGAGCTTAGTTTATGGAACTAAAGATGGTGCTGAACTTTTTGTTAATAAGTTATAATATTCTGAAAAACTAATAAGGTTAGCATGTTCTAAAGTTCACATGAATAATGACATTACCTGTTCGGGGCCAGAGTGCATTGCAAGCAATACCATCAGCTCTGAATTCTTCAGTCATGCCTAAAACACACATGGACATGCCGTACTTGGCCATGGTGTATGCTACATGGTCTTTGAACCATCTTGGACGCATGTTGAGAGGAGGGGAGATGTTCAAGATGTGGGGG